TGGACCTCGGCAGTGGGGTGGGCTGTCCTGGGGTAGGCACAGGTATGTACCCGTGTCCCAGAGCTCACGGAATCAATGAGCTGCGAATTCAAAAGCTCAGGAGAGGGACACCCCGGGGGGGGTGCTCAGTCGATGGAGTGTCTGCCTTGGGCTCGGGTCGTAGATTCGGGGTCCTGGGATCGAGTCTCGTGTCAGGGAGCTCACTTCTTCCTCTCCCTCTGCCTGCTGCTCCCCCTGCTTGTGCACTCTCTCTCTCTCTCTCTCTAAAGAAATACATGAAATCTGGGCGCCTGGGTTCAGTGGGTTAAGCCTCTGCCTTCAGCTCAGGTCATGATCCCAGGGTCCTGGGATGGAGCCCCGCATCGGGCTCTCTGCTCAGCAGGGAGCCTGCTTCTCCCTCTCTCTATGCCTTCCCCTCTGTCTAGTTGTGATCTCTCTCTCTGTCAAATAAGTAAATAAAATCTTAAAAAAAAAAAAAAGAGCTTGGGAGAATGCCAGGACCGCGCTGTCCACTCGCCATGGCTGGTCCCAGAGAAGCCACTCACTGGGGCGGCCTGTCCTGTCCTTGGACCTCGGCTTCCTCTCCCGTGGAGGAGGAGGGGTGGGCGAGTTCTCAGACCCTAGGACAGGCTGGCTGTCCCCAGCAGAATCGGAGCAAGGACTGGTCTCCCCTGGGACCTGGGCCCAATGGCCAGTGGGGCTGGAGTCCAGGGTGCCAAGCAGACAGGCACCCTGGCCACTCTCCGTGGGCGAGGATGGACGCTGGGGGTGGGACATGCTCCGGAACTGGGTGGAGGACCGCTCCCCCATCTCTGGGCTGGGTAACCCGGAGCCCCGCCCAGGCAAGGATGTAGCTCTGCCCAGAGTCCCCCCAGCCCTGTTGCCATGGTAACTTTGTGTCATCGGACGCCCACCGGAGGTGCTGTGGCCTTCCTGGGTGTGTCTTGTGAGGCTGTCCCAGAGAGATGAGCGTCTGGCTCTGTAGACCGAGGGAGTCACAGCCCCCAGGCATGTGACTGGCAAGAAAGGCAAAGGGACAGTGAATAATTCTGCGGTGCTCTGGGACACCCGGCCTTCCTGCGTCTGCAGCCTGCGGACAGCAGATCCTGGGACTTCCCGGTCTCCGGAGCTGTATGAGCCAGTGACCGGGACACCCTCATCCCATCTGTGCCTTTCCCTGTCCTCTGGGGAATGCAGACGGATACATCTGCAGAGGGAGCTACTCTAGGTGTGGGGCCACCTTGTTCACACAGCCCGATGATGGAAACAACTCCCCTGCTGGTTCCCGGCATCCTGCATGCGTTTATCTGGTGGATCTGAATCCTCCTAGCTGCAAACTTGGCCCTTCCCACTAGCAGGGTGGGATTAGCTGTTCAGTCCATCACACACGCCCATTGCTGACTGGGGTGGGGGCCAGCCCGGGCCAGGCAGACCCCAGAGACTCCATCCTAACCATCCTGGGGAATGGGGGCGGGCCTCAGGGCTGACACGGGAGCAGGCAGACTAAGGGCATGGTTCTGAGGAAGGAGGGGGATCTGAGAGCAGCAGGCGTAGGGCCTGCCGTGGGTCTGGGTCTCCACCCCAACACACTGGCGGACTGGGCCCTGCCTCACAACGAGGTTGAATTAGTGCCTCCAATAAATGACGCACGGTTCCAAGAGGAACCCAGCCAGTTCTCCAAAGCTGAGACACTTCCTGGTCACGTGATGTCAGGGGTGACAGGTGACCTCAGGGGTGACAGCTGTCTCATAGCTCCACAGGATGATAAGAGGTGCCCAGGGCCATCAGAACTCCCCGGACCGAGCACCTCCAAGTGCGTCCCTCCTGCTGACTTCATTCCACTCGCACCCCCAAAGGCTGGGTGCCACAGACAGGAAGCACTTTCCAGAAGGACCCATGGGCATGTCTGCTCCAGGGGGACGAGGCAGTGGTGGGCTGATGCCCTCCCCAAGTGCACCCATGTGGGGAGCAGAAACTGTCCACCGGCTGCTGCAGCAGCTACAGTGGGGCATGGAAGGGAGGTTTCTGTTGTCCCCACAATCATAGGTCCTGCACACACCACTCTTTGGGAATGAGGCTGAGCGCACACAGAATGCAGAAAATGCTATCTGTCGGGCAAAGGAGCGCTTCTCGGCGCCCCCATGCCATACCTGCTGACCCCGGGGCACCCTGTTGGCTGCTTCATCCTCAGGCATGAGGCAAGGCTGAGAGCCAGGCGGGGAATGCCCTTGCCCTGCGGAGCTGGCCTGCCAGGGAGGACTGCAGTGCCCACATGGGGGAGGCAGGGGCCCCCGCCCCCGGACAGAGGGAGCAAAGTGCCCGGCTGGGAACATTTCCAGCCCATTAGCAATGAGAAGGAGCCCCACAAGCTGGGCTGGGGTGAGGAGGACACAGTAGCGGTGCAGGGAGAGAGACTGATAGAAGATGGTGAAACTGAGGCAGGTGCCAGTATGGGGAGAACGGGGATGTTCAAAGGGCCGAGGTAACACAGGCCTCTCCATGTGTGACATGGGCTGTGGCCCACATTCTGCCTCTCAGCTGCCTTGCGGACATGGGCCAGCCCTTCCCCTGCCGACCGTGGGACTCTGGCAGAGTCGAGGCCTGGCTGGCTCCGGGCCCAGGCCCAGAACAAGAGGCAGGGCAGCCCTTGGGTGGGGCAGGGAACAAGGTGTGAGTGTGGGGGCTGGGCCCCTGTCTTCAAACTGGCCGTAATTCTCACCGCCTGGGTATGGCCCCTGGAGGTCCATACAGGATCGGGGGCCTCTGGGGGTGGGCCTGCCGGAGAAGGGAGCTGAGCAGAGGGAGATGTAGGGCCCCACCTGTCTGGATAGAAATTTGTCTCGGGTCCCCTCTGGGAACCACACTGTCCCAGGAAGGCTTAGAGGGGATGAAACTTCCGGCCAGGAGGTGCTGGCCATTGAGGGCCTTAGCTAAGTGGTCACCTGGAGGAACCCAAGACAGCAGCTCGAGGCCGCAAAGTTCCAGCATCCTGGGGACAGGGTGGGGCTGGCGGAAGAGTGACGGTCTGGCAAGTGGCTTGCTGGAGGCCAAGTTCCAAGGGCCTCCATCCCAGCCTCCAGGCCTCCCCAGAGCGTGCCTAGCCACCGTGAACAATGCCAGGGGCCATGTGCAGAGCGGGAGACCCGCAGGGAGGGAGTAGCTCCTCCCCCACAACCCCCACACCCCCTCCACCCCCTCTCCTGCCTGTGCCCCTTTGCTCCGGCCGGCCCTTCAGTTCCTTCTTGTCCAGCGTCTTTGCGTCTGACCTGGCCTTCAGCCTGGGAACTGCTGAAGGAGAGAAGCTTGACCCCAAGCCCCCACCAGGCCACCAGGCCCCCTACTGGAGGGCAGGCTGGAGGTGAGAGTCTGGGCCGGAGGCCTCTAGACAGCTCACCTGGCCCTCTCCTGCCAGAAGCTGGACAGGCGCCGTCTTCATCTTCTATCCCCAGGGTGTCCCGTTCCCCAACCCCAGGGAAGAGGGGGAGGGAGCCCAGGTGAGCACCTGGGCCTCAGTTTCCCCAGGGAACCACCGAGCACGTCCTTGCTCCGACGGATCCTTCCCCTGATGTGCCCCATACCTGTCCATCCTGGGCTGAGATGCCCCCTACCCCCAGGAAGGACAGGATCAAGAGGAAGGTAAATTCCTTTAGCTAGGGGCAGGTACACAGGAATTATTTTTTTCATACACTCCTTCCTGCCTCTATTTTCTCATACTTTTTTAAATTTCAAAGAAAGCTTCTGAAGACACAGTGACCACTTGCAGATTGGGGATTGACTCTCGCGGGTGGGGAGCCAGCACCTCTGGAAGCTTCTGTGCCCCTCCCTGGAGATACAGACCCCAGAGGGCACTTTGCACGAGCATGTGCTGTACACTTAGGGCAGGAGAGACCCCAAGCAGGCCCACGGAGGTGGGCTGGGAGCTGGGAGGGAGGAGGGCCTTGGGGGCAGATGCTGGGGTGCAGACCACCAGCTGGTTTGTAAGTGGTGAGACCTGGGGGAAGCTGGGACTGCAAGGTGGGTCCACAGGGCTGTGACCCTGGCTCACAGGGTCAAGCGACCACCAGCCTCTCCGAAGATGAGGCTGGAGGAGGGCCTGAGGACTGGCAGCTGCTCGGATCCCAGCTGCCCCAGGAAAGGGAGAGGGCCCTGTCCACAGGGAGCGGGAGGGCACAGCAGGGGGCTGGGCAGGACTTCACTGCCAGGCAGGCCCCTGGGCCCAGGGCATGGCCTTGCTTTGTGCCCCCTACAACACACGGGTTTGGAGAGCCCCTCCAGCAGTCTCAGAAAAACTGCTCGGTTGTGGGACCCCTCAAAGCAGCACGACAGTGGGGGGACGGAGACCAGGTGGCAGAAAGGAGGGGGGGTCCAGGTTGGCAGGAGGCCAGAGTAAGGTCCTACATGGGGTCCTCAGCCAAGCCCTGAGCCTGGAAACCGTGGAGAGGGGACTCGTCCGTGTCTCCCTTCCGATCAGCCCAGGGAGGCTTCTAGGAGGAGGGGGCTCCTCCTTCCAGTTCGCCAGATTTTGGGCTTACGGCGACCCCGGGGGTAGCGCTGTGCCCCGCCCAGCAGGGCTCCTGCTCGGCCTGTGCTACTGGATGGCCACGTGCTCCCCCGGGCGGGCGGGGGCGGGGGGAGGCTCCTCCGGCCGGCCAGGGGCGGCGTGGTGGTCACAATCTCCACACCTGGGGTGGGCGCCCGGGGAGACCGACCGCGGCCCGCTGGTCAGGGAGAAGACAGGCACCGTCTCCCCAGCCGCCGCGCCCACGCTCGCCTCAGTACCCCCATCTGCAACATGGGCAGGCGGGTCCACCACCGCGCGTGCCACGAGAAGCGCGGCGTAGGCGCAGGCGCACTCCGTTCCGGGAGGGGCACGCGGGCGCGCACGCGCGCAGCGGCGGGAGGGCGCGGCCCGGGGCGGGGCGGAGACCTGGTCCCGCGCGCCCGCCCTCAGCCCGGAGTCTGCGCGTGCGCCCTGCGAAGGGGAGTAGGCGGGGCCGCAGGTGCGCCAGCCCCGTTCCCCAGCGTCCCCCGCGGCAGCAGGCACTGACGTGGCCGCCGTCAGAGCCGCCATCTTGTGGGAGCAAAACCAACGCCTGGCTCGGAGCAGTAGCCTCGCCGCGGCCGCCGAGGGTGAGGCGGCGGGCCGGGAGCCATGGGCCGGGGTCGGGGCGGCGGGCGGCTGGGACAGGTCCGGACCGCCGAGGCTCTGCTCACCGCGGCGGCGTTGGGTCTGTGAGGCCGGCCCGGGCGGGGGCCGACGGGAGGCCGGGCCGGGGAGGCCCGAGGCCGGGCCGGGCCGGGGAACTAGGCGGGGCGGGCGAGGCGAGGTCTGGGCGGGGTGGAGGGTCGAGGGGCGGAGGGCGCTAGGGCTGGGCCGGGGGTCGAGGATTGGCTGGGGGTCAAGGGGAGGCCCGGCCGAGGCGGGGGAGGGGACCGGCCGGGCTTGGGCTAGGCGGGGGCCGGGGGGGGGGGGGGGGTTGCGTGGAGTCAGGGCCCGGGGCTGGGGTCCGCGGCGCCGCCGGCCCCTGAATCTCCCTCCCCCGCCCCGCGGCCTCGCGCCCCCAGCGTCGCCGGGGTGGACGCGCGGAAGTCCGGGCCGAGGCGTGGGCTCCCGCCTCGGGGTCTCCGGCACCCGCGGCCCGGGACGCCGCCAAGGTCACGCGATGGCCGCGGTGGGATCCCCGTTCCGTGGGCCGGGGTCCCGGGTTCGGAGGGGGAGCAGCTGTGGGCGCGGGAGGTGGCGGCGCGGGGCTCGGAGGAAAGCCGCTGCGGTCCGGCTCGCCTCCTGAGCGCCGTCGGCACGGAGCGCACCCTTTCTTCCTCGTTGGGGGGTCTGGTTCCTGGGGGACTGTCTGCGCGGCTTCGCGGACTTGTTGCACCGTCGGGCGGGCCAGCGGCGAGGCGGGTGAAACGGGAGCTGGACGAGTGCGGCGTGCGGGTTCCGGGTCGTGCGGGCTCGGCGGGGCCGGGACTCGGCGCAGTTCACGCCGCGCTCTGCGCGCCTCCCATTTCCTCAGCGCCCGGCAGCCGCCTTCCGTGCCGCCGCGGACTCGCACGGGAAGGGGCTTCTGCACGGGAGGGGTGCGGAGCCGGGCGGTCCCGGAAGTCCCCGCGGCCCGGCGGCTGCTGGTGTCCCTGCGGTCGGCTGTAGTTCCCGTTTCACAGCCACCAGTGAGCGCTCAGCGCTTCTGTGGGCCCGCTGTCTGCGCCTGCGGCTGAGCGCGCCCGTGCGGCGCTCCGAGGCTGCGGGGCCCGCCGTTCTCCCTACCGGTCGCCGCATGTGCCGCTTGCGGAGCCCGTGCCGCGTGAGCGGTGTCCAGGTGAGGATCATCACGCGACTGGCCGTGAGTTAGCGCGCCCCGCCTTCCCGCAAAGGCTCGGTCTTGTCCGCTGGCCTGCTGGGCTGTCTTCAGGACGCCTGGGAAATTCGACCCGATCGCCTGTGTCCAGGTGCGGCAGGTGTCCTCCCCGGCCGGTGTCCTCCCCTACCGCGTCCAGGGACTTAGGTCACGCCGGTTGCCTGGCTTTCTCTTCTCCAAGGTTAGGAGCACCCCTGGTGTGCTGAGCTGAAGCTCCCAGGCTGGGACAGGCTTGCACTTCCAGGAGGGCACAGTCTGCTCCTGCTGGCTTCAGGGACACCGGGGCGGCCTCTGCAGCCCAGACTCTCCTGCGCCTGGCAGCCGCACCTGGGACCTGGCACCGACGCCCGGCAGGGTAGGAAGTGTTGGAGTGAGTTGAGTCCGTTTTCCACAGATTCTTCCAAAAGAGGGGAATTTCAGTCTGCTTTTGGGATCTGCTTTGCTGTCCTGTCTGCATAGAATGAGGTGCTCTGTTGGCGCCTTATGGGTGTGGGGGATGTTCAGTCTTTCAGAAACGCTTTGGACCCGGTCATGGATCCGTTGTAACTGCCTTGTGGGAAGGAGAGGATGGCTTTGGGAATGGGGGTGAGAGAGGGTGCCGTATGGAGTATATGAGTGTGGGGGGGGTCGAGTCCAGACTGTGAGTGTGCAGGGGTGGGGGGCGAGTCCAGGGTGTGAGTGTGGGGGGGGGGGGGGGTCCAGGGTGTGAGTGATCGTTGCGGTGGGGGGTGAGTCCCGGGTGGGAATGATGGTGGGTTGGGAGGGTTAACTGTAGAGTAGCCACAGGCAAGGGGAGTCCAGAGTTGGGGACTGGGTTCCCCGGTCACAGGTGCCGCCCTCTGCTGAGCACAGTGTCCCTCCGTTCCTGTTGAGGTGATCACCGGGAAGTCTGCACGGCCTAGGTGGACCCTATCTGCTAGAGCGTGCCACTCCTGGGGCTGTCCTGAAGGTGGGTGAGGACGCCTCTGCTGGCTGAGAGGAAAGGTCACACAAACGCTTCAAAGTTCCTTCTCTCTGGGCGTCTGTCAGGCCATCCCCTGCCGTCCTGCCTCCCCAGCCTCCTGGAGTGAGCTGGTTGGCTGGCAGATGCAGGGATGCACATCCCTCTGCCGGGTGCCTCCAGGCCCTGGTGTCCCAGTCCCCGCCCGCCCTGGCCATGGGAGCTTGGCGGCCTGTCGGCAGCCAACAGCCCTGACCAGTGGAGAAGCCAGAAGAGCATGGAAGGCGGGAAGACTTTACCAGCAAGGGGATTGTGTGTTCCCAAAGCCCCGCAGGTGACCACAAGTGTATGGCCTGAACTCGTGGGAGCCCGGGTCCCCCCCCCCCGCCACGTTTTGAGGAATTGGGAGTGGCAACGCTGGTGAGTGTCAGGTCGGAATGTAGGAAGTTTCGGTCCTCAGGTAGTGAGCAAGCTAGAAGGAATTCCAGAAGGCACGTCGTGTGGAGAACGCAGCAGGTCTTGGATTTGGTCTCGCATGCGGAGTCGTCTGTGTGGTGCCGGTGTGGGAGCCAGACAGGAATCCGGGCGCTTAGAGCTCGCCGGCACCTCCTCATGTGCAGTCGTAAGTGCCATGGTCGGCCTCCGCGCACACGGCAAGGAAATGGTTTTGAGATTGCGTCCAGTCTCATTTGGGAGGGGTGTGAATGAAGACAGCTCAGGGGGCCAGTGTTCAGATCGCGGGGTTCAAAACAAAGGCCGTCCTAAAAATTGCCGCCAGCTGTTCCCTGTGAATTTTCCTGTCATCGATTGGTGAGCGCGGGGTTGCTCACGAACTGAATCTGCCGAGTTACGTTTAAAGTGCTCTGTACTCTGGTGAGTTGGGTGGTGAGACTTTGTTGAAGACGAGAACATTGAGCATGTCTGTCACAGCGACGGAAGACGTGCTAATTCTGGGGAGCGGGGAGAGAACGTATTTCGTCCTTGACCGTGGGACGTCTCCGAGAGCTGCAAGCTTGCTGGAGTCACTGGCCGGGTGTCCGCAGCCCTGGCCACCTCCTTGGACTGTCGGGCCAGTTAGACTGGCCCAGCACGGCAGTCCTTGTTAGCTTGGTGGGTTGTCCCTGACCAACACGCTCTTAGGAAAAGCCCATTTGTCGACGTGTGTGTGTAATCCCTCTGGGCCTTGGTAGGTGGGCTCTTCGGGTTTTCCTCCGCTCCCTGACAGGTGGTCTCGTGGGTGCCCAGGGAAATGAGCCATGGGGTGTGCCCATGGGCACAGTGCAAGGTTGGGTGGCTGTGTGGTGCCCTGGCTGTGGGCAGAGCAGGCATGTGGCTGGGGAGAGACTTGTGCACAGTGCTTCCAGCATCCGAGCGGAGATGGAAAGGACCAGGGTCCTGTGGGTCCGATCCCGGGTGGGGCAACACCTGGGGGCAGCCATAGGCACAGAGGCCCCCGGCACAAGCGCCTCTGGTGGTGGGGGGGCCTCCTGCAAGCCAGTGGGCCTAGCCCCAGAAGGGGTATTTCAGGAATCTCTGTGGCTGGGAAGAGCAGGTTCTTGGGACCTTGTGGAATGGACAGATGTCAACTTCCTGAATGTCACTGTGTTCTGTGTACGGAAGCGGCCCTCGTCATTGCCGTGGTGGTTTTCATAGATCACATTTCTCAGGAACACCGCTCCCTTGTAGGCAAAGGAGGCGGTGTTTTGTTCTTCGGAGAACCATAGCGGGAGTCGTTCTCTGTCTGCGGGAGAGACGGAGCAGCCCCATGGCCCCAGCCAGCGCGGTTCCCGTGCCCCTGCCATGACGTGCTCTTACAGTAGCGCCTGGAGTCTGTGGTGTAGTTGCACCCGTGTGACAATGACTCACTGTCCCGTGGTCCCCAGGACGCGATAGACGAAGCAGCAGGGTGGGATTTCGCCTTCCAAGGCATATGCGGCTTTTGCCGGCTGCCATCTCGAGATGGTGGCATGGTGCGCTGCAGCCGCGGGGTGCCAGCCCTGGCCTCTGTGAGGACCCCAGCTTGGCATCTGCCTTGCCCAGCAGGCCACAGGCCCCTTGCTGGTGGATGGAAGCCAGAGGGGTGATGAGGTGCCCGGGGCCAGGGCCCAGGGGTGTCCGCAGGGGTGTGCCTTTCAGAGGGAGAGGTGAAGGCAGTTGCTGGAAGCAGGTGGATTAGGGGATGAGTGGGGACACACAGAGTTGGTGGGTGTTTGTGGGGTTTGGGCCTGAGGCAGTAGGAGGAGGTCAACGGTTCAGTGTGGGGGACAGTAGGAGACGAGTCTGGGGGGCGGATGTCCTGTGGAGGGGGTAGTGCTAGAGTGGGAGTATGGCGCATGCAGGCAGTTGACCTGCGGAGGGCCTCCAAACAGAGGATGGCACAGGCAGGCATGTCAGCAGGGGTCCTCGGCACCCGGCTGTCCCGGGTCCCACGTGTGGCCAGAGGCAGGAAGAGGTGGTGGACAGGTGGGCAGACATGAGAAGTCCCCATAAGGACAGTGAGCTCTGGGACAGGACCAGTGTGGGAAGGGTCCTGAGCCCTTGTGCCCGCGAGTGCTCTGGGCTGGGCCGGCAGAGGTGGCCGCCCAGAGGCCAGGGAGGGGCCGGACTGCTGGGGGTTGGAGCAGAGGTGCTGAACCTCCGCGGACTGGGATTTTCTGTGTCCTCAGGAAGGCCATTGCTTACAGAAAGGTGGGGCTGCAAGTTCTGAATTCTGTTTTCAGAAACGGTCTCTTGAAGTCCCTTGAAGACAGACGCCAAGGCTGAGGGTTGGCCTAACCACCCCTCCCTGCCGTCATGCCCTGTGCTGAGAGAGCCTCAGGGGTCTCCCGGCC